TAGTATCTAAATTCTGCCTGGGTAAAAGCTACACCCAAGATACACAGGAAGATACGATGCCAACCTCGGAGGAGGGTATATTTGAAATTTTGTCTTTTGAAACCATTTTTTTCCCCTCTATATTGGCAAGCACACTTGCAGCTGCTGAACTGTGGTTTACCTCGGCAGTTCATCATGAGAGCCGAGTATGAGAATCTGATTCTACCTCTGAAAGGTGCTACTAAAATATACCATATTTGGTTCTCTTGGGTCATTTCCAAGAATATGAGACCATTGTGTCACAAAAGTGTCATTTATTTCATAAACCTAAATTTGTCACCATCTCCTTACATCATTATCTCATCAGAATCTGGCATTTAGAACTGCCACCAAACTGTTTATGAGTTTCCAATTTTTTTCTGATTTCTCTTCCCATTTGAACATGTCTTTGTTTACAGCGCTGCCTTTTCACTGTTCAAAATCCATCTAAAAGGTCCTTCAAAGTTATTACATCTGGAGGCAAAGCCTGTACTTGAAGGATTTCTCGAAGTGAAGTCTGTGGACAGTAGTATAAGCATAAACATTACTGGAGACCTTGTTAGAAATACAGAGTCTCAGCCCTCTCCCCTAGCTCCAAACCTACTGAAATCAGAGTCTGCATTTTCACATGATCCCTGGGTGGTTTGCACCTGAGAGTGTGAGAATTGCTCTAGGGCTCTCTTCTCATTCCTTTGCCCTAGTAAGTGCCTCACATCTTGTCCAACCCAATTGAATGGCATTTCCTCACCTCAACTCCTTTTCTCACCTTTAATGAATACTTATCTTTACTACTAACACTTTAGGAGCTCTGGTAGCGTAGTGCCTAAGGCACTTGACTGCTAACCAGAAGGCTGGTTGTTCAAACCCACCAGCCACTCCTCAGAAGGAAGGTTAGACAATCTACGACCGTAGTGATACATCTCAGAAAACCAAGGAGGGGTCGTTATGAGTCAGTTGGACTCAATGGCGCATAACAAAACTAACACTTTAATTTTTTAGCTCCTTAGTTTAATTTATAATCTCTTCTTTTTCATTCAGCATGGATGATCCATCTGTGAGAGAAAATTCTTGGGATACTAAAGAGCCATTAGATCCTTCAAATACCTCTATGAAAACCTTGACATGATAGTGCCTCCTGTGTTGAAGATGAAGTGTGTTTCCTTCTGTGCATCTGGAAAGATTTCTACTCAACCAGCAGCTCCTTCTGCTTCCATTTCCCCCCCTCATCATCGCTCCCTCCAGCCAAGGTTTATATAGCTCAATTTTTTATTTTCTTTCTTGTGGAGAAATAAATAAAGCCACAGGGGAAAAGGATTATATAAAATACAAAGATGTCCAGTTGTGCTCTTTCTTGATTTTGTCTTTTTCAGTTCAGTGCTATATATATCTCATGACATCATTTCTCAATGCAGTGAAAATTTGTTACATATATAACTACAGACTGTTTTGTGGCAGATTAAATGTTACCTCCCCTGCTCGCAGTATAAGATTCCTTGGTAGCATGCAATGGGCAGCCTATACGACTATGAGACCAGAACTAGATGGTGCCCGATTACCACTGTCAACCACTGGGAGGGGGATCTATGTAGGAGATCCTGCGTAGAGAGGGAGAACAATGTGGAACAAAACTCAAAATCATTTTGAAAAAAAAAAAAAAGGGGGGGGAGGGACCAAGTTTGCTGTCTGATAGAGTCTGGTGGAACCACTGAGACTATGGCCTCTAGTTGACCTTCAGATCTGGAATTGAACTCACACCTTTGGCTTCCAGCCAAACGAAAGACAGGCATAGGAGTTGAATATTTACCTGAGGTAGATACACTCCTTGGAGAGAACAATCATGAGAGAAAGAAGGGCTGTTTATGCACAGGGAGACAGCTTACGGGGCAGGACTGCATGGAGGGATGGACACAGGGAAGAGGTAACTGTCAGAAGGAAGTGGGAGGAGAGCTGTTTCATTGTGGTGAATTTTGGTCAATGTCATGAGACAAAGTGTATGTGAACTGCTTTATGGAAAGTGAATTTGCTCTGTAAATTTTCACCCAAATCACAATTTAAAAAAACAAACAAACAAAAAAGATTCCTTGGTAGCACAAGCAGTTTGCAATCGACTGCTAATCTAAAAGTAGGTAATTTGAACCCACCCACTAGCTCTGTGAAAGAAAGGCCTAGAGATCTGCTTCCGTAAAGATTGGGGCGGGGGAGGGAAAAAAAAAAAAACCTATGGAAAAGTTCTACTCCATAACACAATGGGGTAGCCATGAGTTTACTTAAAGGAAGGGAGATTTTTGTTGTTGTTGTTGTTTTTAAATATTGCTTGTGGTATACTGTGGGGGTGTAGCATGCTACATTATTATAGAAAGTTTATAAAATTGGTGTGATCCTTGCTACCCAATCCAGTGTAATAATGAAATTCTGTAAAGTTGGACACCAGGCTATAAAGGTCTTATCTGCATTGTAGCATTGTCTTCCATAAATAAGGGCCATCCAATTTAACCACTGCCATCTCCTTGCCTTCTTCAGCCTGACTTCTATGCAAATATGAGATCTAACAAGCACCAAACACAAGGGGAGAAGAGAAAGATGGACTTCACTGTGTTTCACTTTTTTGTTTTGTTGTCTTTTTCTGTTAGACTCAGCCTAATTGCTTGTCTTCAATGCTTCTTTATTGACCATTCTATTGGTAATCAAGAAGCCCTGGTGGTCCAAGTGGTGAAGAACTTGACAGCTAACCAAAAAGGTTGATGGTTCAAATCCACCAGCTGCTCCATGGGAGAAAGATGTGGCAGTCTGCTTTCATAAAGATTACAGCCTAGGAAACCCTAAGGGGCAATTCCACACTGTCCTGTAGAGTTGCTATGAGTCAGAATAGACTCAATAGCAATGGGTTTGGTTTTTGGTTTACATAGTTAATTGGAGTCCCTGTAGGGTGCACATGGTTAATGCATTTGGCTTCAAACTGAAAAGTTGGAGGATGTTTGAATCCACCTAGAGATACCTCAGACTACGGCTTGGTGATCTACTTCCAAAAAATCAGCCACTGATAACCTTATGGAGCACAGTTCTACTCTGACACACACAGTATTGCCTTGAGTCGAAACTGACTCCACTGCAACTGGTTTTCATAATATTGATGAAATATCATCATCAGAATGCTAGTTGCAGGTGACATCTCTTTGATGTTATAGAGAAGAATTAAAACAAGTAGAAAGATTCTTTGGCTCATGCTGAAATGCTCCCATGTCTGCCCTAAGCCTCTTATTCTCCTACTTGTTGTGAGGTGTCACTGAGTCAGTTTTGACTCATAGCAACCCTGTATACAACAGAACGGAACACTGCTCAGTCCTCTGCCAGCCTCACGATTGTTGCTATGCTTGAGTCCCTTATAGCAGCAGCCACTGTGTCAGCCCATCTGGTTGAGGGTCTTCCCCTCTTTTGCTGGCCTTCTACTTTACCCAACATGATGATATCCTTCTCCAGGGACTGGGCCCTTCTGACATCATGACCAAAACACAAGAGACAAAGTCTGGCCATTCTCACTTCCAAGGAGCATCCTGCTTACACTTCCTCCAATACAGATCTGTTCATTCTTCTATCAGTTCATGGTACATTCAATATTCTTCACCAACACCACAATTCAAATGCATCAGTTTTTCTGTGGTCTTCCTTAATCACTGTCCAACTCTCACATGCATATTGAAAATACCATGGCTTGGGTATGGCACACCTTAGTCTTAAAAGTGAGTCTTTGCTCTTAAACACTTTAAAGAGGCTTTTGCAGCAGAGTTGCCCCCATGTAGTATATCATTTGATTTCTTAACTGCTGCTTCCATAGGCATTCACCTAACAAGATTTGATCTATTTTTTTAGTTTCATCTCAGGCATGCTCACCCTCTTCACTTCCTTCAATAAAGGAGCTCTGGTGGTGCAGTGCCTAAGGCATTTGACTGCTAGCCAGAAGGCTGGAGGTGCAAACCCACAAGCCACTCCATGGAAGGAAGACTAGGCAATCTACTTCTGTAAAGATTTACTGCCTCAGAAATCCAGTGGGGATCACTAAGAGTCAGAATTGACTCGATGGCAGTGGGTTTTTGGTAGCTACTCAAGCCCATGACAATCTCCCTTGTCTGGGCTCTAATAGCAAATCCAGTCTGTAACATACAATTTCACACTTAAATATCACCTATTTTTAAATACTAAGTTTGTTATTTTTAGAATTGTCATATGTATAACTATATACCTACTCTTTACTTCTTAGTTACCTGACATTTAACATTTATGACATCTTTGAATAAATTATCAGGCAGTGATGATCCAGGCCCCATGTGGGGTCATGCCCTCTGGTGGCCACCCTGAACAACATACCAGGGGCCAAGTGGCAACTGGGCCATGTCTGGGACAGTGACCATTTGGCTTCTTGATGCCTGCTCACATTCATCCTATGTCTTAGTCCTGCCATGGAGGGTGCAGGGTGATAGTAGGACAAAGCAAGGTTGTTGGAGGGCAGGGGTAAGCCAGGTGAGGACCTGAAAGTGCCAGGGGAGTCAGTGTAGGGAAGTGGAAAGGGAGCACTGTGGGACTAGGGTGGATGGAAAATGACACCTCCCCACCATCCCCAAACCCCTCAGGCTCTGCAGGTAGGGAAGGTATTGTGGGAAAGAGGGTCACAATGTGTCACATGCATCCCAGGATGCACTGGGAGTTCCTGATGGACGATGAGCCATTGTGTCACATCCCTGGAGTATCTAGCTCATTACTTGACACTCAAGAAAATGCATGTCCTTATATTCTTTCTGATAAGTACACTGTACTTACAACAGCAGACTCTCTTTCCACATTACATAATGACCTGAACAAATACTCACCTAATGTCAAGGGTTGAGAGTATAGGGTCCTAGAATAGAAACAAGTTAGAAATCACTCTATAACTTATTCAGGTTTCTTACAAACTTTATATATTTTATCAAAATTATATTTTTAGGGTAATGGTTATGTTTTCCTTTCCCAAAGCCATCTCAGATTCTGCATTACAGCAAAAGCTGCTGCAAGAGGTACTCCATGTTGTGCACTGCAAATCTGAAGTATGCCATTCAATTCATGTACAATTGGAGTTGTTCAGTGCACAACCTGCACAGCCTCACACAGTAGCCTTGACTACAAGAGTTTATTCAACCAGAATACCAGGGGCAATGAACCCAAGTGGAAATTCCTTCTCAGAAGTAAGTCTTGTAAAGACTTAAAAATATAGTCTTTTGTTCAAGCCCTAAGGCCATAATGTGATTTTAGGAATTATGTCCTGGCCTTTGGACATGTTATCAGGAAGGACCAGTCTTTGAAGATGGATATCATGCTTGGTAGAGGGTCAATGAAAAAGAGGAAGACCCTCAACAAGATGGCTGCAACAATTGGCTCAAGCATGGCAACTATAGTGAGGATGGCGCAGAACTGAACAGTGTTTTGTTCTATTGTATATGGGGGGTTATGAGTCAGAACCAACTTGACAGCACCTAATAACAACACAGCCCTTAGAGGACTGCATTGAGCATGAAGTTGCTTTGTGAACTGAACCTTAAACATATTTTTTTTTCATCCCTATTTTTCCTTTTGTGTAGGATTCTAGGTCTGACCTAAAGGTTTGAGCTGAACCAGCCCTGAGATTAAGGTCTTTCATTTATGTCAAAATAGGAATGTACCCCTTATATTTTCATCACAGGATGTGAATTCTACTTGTACCTCTGCCTTAGTAAGGTGGAAGGACATGGTTTGGGTAGGAGACCTATCTAGTTGGAATCCTACTTGTACTTCTATGGGGGAGATACAGGTGAGTCATTATCCTCCCTGAACTTCAAATTTATTTATGAAAATGGGATACCTTTATCTACCTTACATAATTGCACTCCAGATTAAATGAAATAACTCCTTTCTCCATAACCCATATTACTGACCTTCATAAATCATGAGTCCAAGAAACATGGAATCATCTGTTCCTCTGAATTTGTTTGCCAGAGATCAAAGTCCCTGGACTATATTGTATTCATTTCCTGCAGATATGTTTCACCAAGTTAAGATCTAATTTATGACCTTAGCTCAGATCAGAAAAATCTATCAGTTGGGTATCACATGCTTCCCACATGTCACCCCCCCACACACACTGTCACCCTTTGGCCTTCCTGGGACTGTACTTTGTTCTTTTGCACATCTCCAAAACAGACGTAGCTCCTTAATGACTTAATGAGAAACAGATGAAGTAAGAAAAAGGCTTACTATTCAAATCATACTGTGGAAATTAATTAAGTTATTGTTTAAACATCTATCCTTCTCTTGTCAAAGTTCCTATTACCTGCAAGCAGACACATCTTACCATTTCCTCTTTTCTCCAAGAATCTTCTAAAACTTCCCTATAAATGGTTCATCCATTCTGTTCACATGTCCCATCCAGGAAAGTAAAGCTGCTATCATCAAAACAACCCATAGCCAATGGCAAAGGACAGAAAAATATTTAAGAGAAATAATGAGATCCTCACTTCCTTTTGGCCTTGATGGACTTGTCTGATCTTCTAGTGTAGCCCTTAGTGTTACATGGAACTCAGCTTTACTCAGTATCTTGGTATGAAACTTGGTCCAAGAAACAGAGCTAGTAGTGGTGTTTTTAGCACTAGTAGTTGCAATAGCAGTAGTTGCCATGATGATGATAAAAGTAGGGAGAGAGGATTTTTTAAGTTGATTATCTTAATAGTTGCCCACAATCCTTAGTAACATTTCTTGCAATTGTAAGTTTTTAGCAGATGTTTAATTGGGTAATTGTAAACCACCATCTCATCCCTTAGGTCTTTCTTCTTGCTAAACAGGCCCATGTTCTTTATCATTCAATGATTTATAGGGGTCAGTTCTGAGGATACTGAGATCAGGACACACACATGCACACCACACTTACAGAGACAGCCTGTTCTCTCAAGAATATTTACATTCCTCTTATTATTGTAAATATATATAAAACATAACATTTGCCAATTCAGTATTTTTCAAGTATACAATTCAGAGACACCGTTGTTTCAATCATGTTGTGCAATATTCACCAATTGGCAATGGATATTGGAGATGGGCAAGATCACTTTTAAGGATTATTTTGGTGTGAATTGAGTCCACAATCATTTGGACTGTCCACTTAAGTGTTTGAAATCAAATTTATTTTGAGTAATTTTTCATCACCTTTTTTCTCTTCAGCACTCACAGCTCTTTTTATGCCACCTTTCCTAATCTATTAAGTTGATATTTATTAGCCATATCGACTAATGAGCTCTGGTAGCATAGTGGCTAAGACACTTGACTGCTAACCAGAAGGCTGGTGGTTCAAACCCACCAGCCACTCCTCGGAAGGAAGATGGGGCAATATACTTCCATAGTGATACTGCCTCGGAAACCCAAGGAGGGGTCGCTATGAGTCGGGTCCGACTTGATGGCACATAACAACAACAACAACATATGGACTTATTGTTATTGTTAGGTGCCATAGAGTCAGCTCTGATTCATAGCAACCCTTTGTACAATAGAACAAAACACTGGCCAGTCTTGCACCATCCTCACAATCCTTGCTGTACTTGAGCCCACCAATGCAGCCACTGTGTCAATCCATCTTGTTGAGAGTCTTCCCCTTTTTCACTGAGCCTCTACTTTATCAAGCTTGATATCCTTGTCCAGGAAATGGTCCTTTCTGACCATGAGACCAAAGTAGGTGAGACAAAGTCTAGCCATTCTCACTTCCAAGGAGCATTCCGACTACACTTTTACTGGGACAGATTTGTTCATTCTTCTGGCATTCCACGGTACTTTCAGTATTCTTTGCCAACACCATAATTCATAGCATCACCTCTTCTTCAGTCTTCCTTATTTTTGTCCAACTTTCATAGTGGACACACACATGAGGTGATTGAAAATACCATAGTTTGGGTTAGGCGTACCTTAGTCTTCAAAATGACATCTTTGCTTTTTAACACTTTAAAGAGGTCTTTTGCAACAGATTTGCCCAGTGCAATATGACATCTGATTTCTTGACTGCTGCTTTCATGGGTGTTGATTGTGGATCCAAGTAAAATGAAGTCCCTGGCAATGTCAATCTTTTCTCCATTTATCATGATGTTGACTATTGGTCCAGTTGTGAGAATTTTTGTTTTCTTTATGTTGAGGTGTAATCCATACTAAAGACCAAGTCATTGATCTTCATCAGTAAGTTCTTCAAGCCATTTTCACTTTTAGCAAGTAAGGTTATATCATCTGCATATCACAGGTTGTTAATGAGTCTTCCTCCAATCCTGATGCCATTCTACTTCATAGAGTCCAGCTTCTCAGATTATGCATACAGATTGAATAAATATGGTGAAAGGATATTACCCTGATGCACACCATTCCTGATTTTAAACCTATCTCCTTGTTCTGTTCAAGCAACAGCTTCTTGGTCTATGTACAGGTCCATCATGAGCACAATCAAGTGTTCTGGAATTCCCATTCTTTGGAATGCTATCCATAATTTGTTATGATCCACACAGGCCAAGTGCCTTTGCATAGTCAATAAAACACAGGTAAATATCTTTGTTATGTTCTTTGCTTTCAGCCAAGATCCATCTGACATCAGCAATGATATTCTTCATTCCACATCCTCTTCTGAATCCAGCTTGCATTTCTGGAAGTTCCTTGTCCATATATTGCTGCAGCCATTTTTGAATTGTCTTCAGTAAAATTTAATTTGTGTCTGATATCAATGATATTGCTGAATAATTCCCACATTCTGTTGGATCACCTTTCTTTGGAATGAACACAAATATCGATTTCTTCCAGTCAGTTGGTCACTAGAGGTCTTCCAAATTTCTTGGCATAAAGGAACAAGTGCCACCAGCACTGCAACCAAATATTGAAACATGTCTGTCAATTCCTGAGGCCTTGTTTGTTTTGCCAATTCCTCCAGTGCAGCTTGGTCCTCTTCTTTCAATTGCCATTGGTTCTTGATCATATGCCACCTCCTGAAATAGTTGAACATCAACCAGTTCTTTTCTGCTACAATAACTCTGTGCATTCTTTTCACTTTCTTTTGATGCTTCCTGCATCATTCAATATTTTTCCCATAGACTCCTTCAATTTTGCAACTCGAGCCTTGAATTTTTTCTTCAGTTCTTCCAGCTTGAGAAATGCCAAGTGTGTTCTTCCCTTTTGGGTTTCTAACTCCACATCTTTGCACAATTCATTTTAATATTTTACTTTGTCTTCTCAAGCTGCTCTTTGAAATCTTCTGTTCAGTTCTTTTATCTCATCATTTCTTCCATTCTCTTTAGCTACTCTCCCTTAAAGAGTAAGTTTCAAAGTCTTTTCTGACACCCATTTTGGTCTTTTCTTCCTTTCTCATATTTTTAATGACTGTGTGCTTTCTTCATGTATGATCTTGATGTCATCCCACAACTCATCTGGTTTTCAGTCACTGCTGTTCAATGCACCCAATCTATTCTTCAGATGGTCTCTAAATTCAGGTGGAATATAATCAAGGTTGCGTTTTGGCTCTCATGGACTTGTTTCAATTGTTTTCAGCTTCAACCTGAACTTACATACGAGCAATTGATACTCTGTTCCACAGTCAGCTCCTTGCCTTGTTTTGACTGAAGATACTGAGCTTCTCCATCACCTCTTTCCACAGATGTAGTTGATCTAATTCTTGTGTATTCCATCTGGCAAGTTCCACATGTATAGCTGTTGTTCATGCTGTTGACAAAAGGTATTTGCAATGAATAGTTGTTTGGTCTTGCAAAATCCTATCATGTGATCTCTGGCATCACTTTTATTACCAAGGCTATATTTTCCAACTAGCAATGATTCTCCTTTATTTCCAACTTTTGCATTCCAATCACCAGTAAAATCAACACATATTGATTGCATGTTTGGTCAATTACAGACCACAGAAGCTACGAAAAATCTTCATTTTTTTCACCTTTGGCTTTAGTGGTTGGTGTGTAAAGTTGAAAAATAGTAGTATTAACTTGTCTTCTTTGTAGGCATATGGATATTATCC